CAGCAAGTAATCAATTTGGTATCGTTGGGATTCAAGTAGCTGGTGAAGAATTATTTTTAAATGTCTTAATAAAAGACACGAGTGGAATACCTAGATATTTCCATTTGGATCAAGCTGAAATGCCTTTCGCAAAAAATACTCCATGGCACGTGAAACCCCTTGTTCATTTACTTTTAATATTTAGAAACACCATGATCGTAAACTAAAATTTACTTATGTAAGCTTTAGAATAAGCTAATGCACGCCCTCCAAGAAATGCACAACAAAGCCTCACTGTTACTTCACCATTACGTACTTAATTTTATTTATTAATAAAGATTTTTGGTTAGAGGAACGTACAAGCCTTTAGGCGATTCGAAGAATCATGTATCATGTGTTATTTTTTGTGTAATGTATATATGATCGAGAATTTTTCCGAAATAATTTTCTTGGCAAAAGTGATCAGCGTGGACAATGCGCACGTGTATATATTTTTTGATTATTAATTGATATGTTACGTGATTTCTATTTGAAATTAAAGGCATTAACTAATAAAAAAAACATTTTCAAGACGTGGTCAATAAAAATCCTTTTCCGAACATTTGTAATAAAGTTATATAAATTAATATTAAACATGCAAGATCAAAGGAGCAAGCCTAAGGACCTATCTGAATTAGATTTATTGAGACAACGAATCACTGATCTCGAGACTGAAAATGCTGAAATTCCTGAACTTAGGAATAAATTGTTAAAGTTTGCCGAAGTTGAAGTTGAAAACAAGAGGCTGAGACGGATTATTAAAGAGAATTCTAGACGTGATGCAGAGTTTAAGAGCCGAATTGAGGAGTTGGAAAAAGCTAGCTGATATATACATAACAAAAATCAGTTTAATCATTTTCCCGCGATCACACCGAATCATGTATCATGTGTTATTTTTTCGAGTAATGTGATTAGATAGCAATAATTTTCTTGGCAAAGAGTGATCGGCGTTCTGAGAATTTTTTGTTTATGCTTTCGATCGTGACATTTTGTCACGGTTTTATAAACGTTATGTAACCCGAATATATACGTAATTCATTGTATCGCGCTTGGTTATTTTCACTCTGTATCGCTTATGTAAGTCCCCACAGAAATTAAAATAGCTGATGGCTTCATTCTGATCAATTTTTACGCGATCAATACATGAATCATATCATTTAAAAGCCATCTCTTTATTTTTCATGTGTTAAACATTATAAAATAAACCACATTTTAATTATTAATTATAAAACAACTCGTTTCTTTTTTCTTGTTTTTGTATTTTTAATGTTTTCGGCCTCCTCAGTGTCTTTTGTAGAGGTATGAGTCATACGTGTTGTCATTTTCTTAGATGATTCAAATTCATCACCTTCACTCCATAAAAAATCTTGAACCGACTTTGCGCTTTCAGCTAACAATGACTAATTTACAAGAATCGAAAATGTTAATTTTGTGATTTCTATACCTTGTTTTTTTTATATAATAAAATCTACTGGAGCGAAGCCACTGTTAAGAACAATCTGTACAAACCTCATACTTCAAAAAGCCCATTATAGTTTTGTTGGCCCTTGCCATATCTGCCCACGTTTTTGGAAAGTAAAAATTTAATATTGGTTTCATAGTATAGGTCTCAGCGAATTTAAGTCGAAATTCATATATTTACTGTGCATTTCAAAGGTTAGTAATGTATGATATAACAATAATGGACAAAAGTGTTGGTAATCAAAACTTACAATACGCTTGTAATCCGTATAGCTTGACCGATGTAATATCACAAGTCGGGTTTAGTTCCGCATAATGGTTTATAATTGTTTTTAACATTTTAGCAATCTTCAATCGATCACCTTTATAGTGCGACCAATCATTTTTCATCGGCGGTCCACTTATTTCAATGACAGAAAACTCTTCGTTCTCTTCTCGCAATTCAATGATAGTGTCAATTTTCTTTCCAGTGGACCGGCGTTCAGAATCTTCATTTTGTGAATTTTTGTCTTTCGCGCTCGCTTTGAGACAAGTTTCGCCGTAAGATGCACGCCATTGTCTTTTATTTTTGACAAAAAATTCATCGAAAATGGGCACTAGGACACTATTAGTATATGTGCCTTCCGACATTGGGTCGAGTAATAAATTGATATCTTCCATTAGTCTCACCCTATAAATATAATTAATCTCATTAGTCACAACCATATTTCTCAATGAAGATTAAGAAACATAAACTCACATATGTCTCACGAAATTCAACGCGAATTTATTTTCAAATAAAGCGGTGTCTTCTTCCTTTACTTGTTTGAGTTTTTCCTTTGTTTTCTTAATATCACGATCAATGACATGATCTAACAGCAATTTGATTTCATTTTCTACAGTATTTTCAATTTCTTTCTCACTTATATCACTGATCATTTGTGTTACGATACTTCATCCAATGTCTTTAAAAACCCATCTTTATTATAATTGAAAAATATAACATCATAATATTCTGGACTCGTTTTTGGCAGATTCTTCTTCAACTTGTATTCTTTGAGACGTTCCCTGATTCGAATACCATTTACGATCCATTCAGCGCTTTTTCCACCAACAACCGTTAGACTTGCATCAAATTCTTCGTCACCTTCATCTTCCTCGGTTTCCAAACCACGTTTTTTCCCTTGTTGATTCACCAAAAAAGGGTTTGGTAATGGTTTTTTGCATATATACTTCGGTGAAGTATCATAACATAGGTTTTCGTTCTCTTTATTTTCTAGCGTAATGGTTCGCTTTGGTGTACAGATATCAGCTTTATTATACACCTAGTCATAAAAGAAAATAACAAGTTCATTATGATTAACCGTAAAGTCAATGGGTCGTGTTCTTGAGACTCACGTTATTTGTTTGTGTTTAGACTTCTTGTAGGATGTATAACTTGAAATTTGTTTTTCTTGTACAGCAGATGAAGTCTCTCGGAGATGGCGTAGACCTATTTTTTCAAATTCAGACATCCCTTCTTTCTAAAATCGAAATCAAAAATCAAGAAGTTTTAGCAAAAGTATACTCTATAGATGGTTTTTGAAGACAACTTACCCATTGCAATTTTGACTTCTTATCAACTAACTCTGATTCATGTAGTTCCCAAAAGAATTTTACTGATCCACTGCATTTTTCTTTCTATTATAAAAACTGTTAAATTATTAATCATATTCATAAGCAATATTTGCAGAAACAACCACAGACAACCAGCAATCATTCCTTGGCAACCAGCAATCACCAAGATAGTCTGTGTAATTATGTGCGAATACAAAACAAAGTCCTTTGCTCTGTACAATCAAAGACCACAACGAACAACCAGCAATCATCCCTTATGAACCAGCAATCCATAAGATAGCTCGTGCAAATACGCAATTTGCAAAGTGATCCGTTGAATCTGCAAAAACCATATTTTGAAAATGAACAAATACATTTACCGAAAATTTTTCTATCAACTCTCGCACTATTTTTCCAACTTCTGAAGTCTCATTGTAATAATCGCTTATTGTAACTAGTTCGTCTTTATATCGAGAGTGTTCTTGTGTTGAATCAGCCAAATTACCTTCCAGATACCGGAAGTTCAAAAATTTTCTGAGTGAAGGTTTGTTAGTATTCTTCCAAAAAGCTACATTTAAAGAACGGCGTTAATCTAGTAAAACATTAGCATAAAAAAGTGTATAGACGGTGTTCCTTACTAGGATATTCTAGAGAATCAAGGCAATAAGGTTGAAGATTCATAATATCAATTTAGATGCGGAATAAACGATACGCGTTTAAAAATTTGTGTACAAGTCTGATCGTCACGATTTTCTGACACATGATATTTGATTTGGTCATCGAAAAAAATTTTCACCAGCCAATGTTTTACATCAACTGTATCGAATTCGTTTGCTTTGTTATAAACAGAATTTTTGAATGATGAAAAATGAGAATATGAGAATGTTGATACACTTTTGTGGCAAAATTCGCACTTATGAAATATCATAATTCCGATCGAGACATTTTGTTACAGTATTTATATAAACAAACTTTTGAACATATCTGCATCTTATATAAAACAATGGGAAACACCAAATCCGAACTAGATTTATTGAAACAGGAGAATACCAGACTTATGACTAGAATCACGGAACTGGAACAGATCGCGAAAGAAAAAAATAAGCTTGAGGTTAGAATTGTGGAATTAGAACAGACTACAAAGTTAAGTCAA